TAACTTGGAGCTCGTTGAGCCATTCACAGGACGGCCATGATGGTTCTAGCAGGACAAACCTACACGCTCTGCTGCTATATCAGTGTATAAGCTGTAAATGTGATGTTATCGCTACGATGGTATCTCTCAATACGGGCCACGCAGACATGTAAAGAAATATAACAGTAGGCGATGTTTGCTTAAAAAAACATTTCAAACTCGAGCAGTTTTTCACACCGCCTCGCGGATTGCATCACGCAGACCGGAGTAACCCAGGCCATGATAAAAATATTGTTTGTTTGCCCTCACCTGATCGACCTGGGTCGAATGAGAAATTCAATTGATCTTTTTTTTAAAAACTAATTGTATCACTGTACATTATATAAATCTGTAGGCAATACATTATATGTACGAAGCAAAACAAACATTCAACATAAAAGGTATCTCCACACAAGCACACCCGAGCATGTAGACACCATGATACAATAATGTAATCCAAACACAGGATAATTTTTATAACAGGTTATATTAGTTTAATACAGAGTATTGTGATACATAGTAAGTTCCAGGATAGCAGAGAAAGGTTCGTGTTTAGAATAAACCCAGTTTAAAAGTTCTAGTCTTTGAAAACGCACCAGCAAACCGCCCTGAGTGATTCACTCAGGCGTTCCTCCACACAAAAGGATACGCTCGCGTTGTAACCCTATCCTGTGTTTGGGTTACATTATTGTATCTAGTAGACACCATGCTGAATTTGTAAAAAGACCCCCCCCCCCAAGAGAAAAAAACCAACCTACGTACCCGAACCTATCAGCCTGGGTCGGGTGAGGGCAAACAAAGATTTTTTTAATTGTGGCCCGGTTGCAGTTACTTGGGTCTGCGTGATGCAATTTTAGAGGCAGTGTGAAACGGCCGAACGCGTTTCGTTTTGCAGCCACCAATAGATGGCGTTGTCGACTCGCGGCAGCCACTCGCTTCCTTCTCACTGTTGTATCGGCCTCATACAGTGTTAGGATTCGCGGTAAATTTGTCGGAGCTTTTAACAGTTTCTCTCTCTCTCTCTCTCTCTCTCTCTCTCTCTCTCTCTC